CAACTTGGATGAATAACGGATTTTTACACATTTCATTTGGATACTCATCTTGGATTACGGCAGTGATTTCACGATCTGCATCTGAACCTTCACATGGTTCATCGGTGTTAAACCATTTTGTCCACTTGTCACAATCTGGCTGTTCTGTATAGTGATATTACATAAATGAAAAAACGTGGTTAATGAGACGAGACAGCTTTTCGCTTATAATAAGTATTCAATTCAAAGTAATACTCAAATTCAAATATTCAACGAAAATAACGTAAAAACAAATAATATATTATTTGTGAATATTTGAATATTGATTTACCAGGACAACAGAATCTGACTTTATAATCTTCACATTTTTCATCGTCCTGTTGTTCATTCAAACAAGCCAATCCATTAATGATGTCATTGCTGAGGAGCACATCGCCCGTTAATTCAGCTGGTATTCCATCAATAGTCTGGGCTTGGATTGCGCTGGGTCGTTTGCACGTCTCTTCACATAGTGTTGCTAGCGTTTCCAGATCGCCAACACCTTCATCTGGACTATCCTTATCGAACCATTGTGACCATTCACCATCACATGGTGGATCAGCTGTTCAAATACACATCACGTGTGTTATATGCACAATTAGGAATACAATTACCTTCACGTAGACCATGTTTCGCAATTAGTTATGAATTCATTGAATTAGTTCATAACATAAATCGAATACATCCATATTTATGAGTCAATGCCGCAAAACCATACAACAAATCAGGTTCATTCAAGCTATGGCATAATGTCGTAAATTTTAAATGGTCTTCTGTGATTACAAATTATAATGTATGTCGAGAAATATTAGTTACCTGGACAACAGAATCTCACTTGATAGTCAAAGCAAATGTTATCTGGTTGATCGTCCATCCGACACACAAAGCCTTCATCTGGCGAATAATACAAGAATATTTCACCAGTATCTTCTGCAGGAATACCGTCAAGGGTCTGCACTTGTATCGCCAATGGATTGGAACACATTTGATCTCCGAAATGTTTTAATATATCTTGAGTCGTTTCCCAGTCGCCGGTCGTTCCTGGGTTATCTAAATCGAACCAGATAGTCCATTCACCGTCCACACATTCTACAAGTGAAATTGAAAACAAATGTTTTTATTCACATGTTGTTTTTACTTACCCGTGTATAACTAATATGTGGGAAAAAAACACATGCAATCATTGCACAACACTGACTTCATGATGAGAAATGGATAAAGCTTAATTCACCTGTATTTGGGCAACATATATCATGGGGAGCATAGCTCACACAATGGTAACCATATGGACACTCAACTGCACCGCGAACACAAGATACTCTAGAACCGTTATCACCAATTAATGGAGATCCCGGGTGACACTGTGACAACACTATTTAAAGGAAATTCTTGATTAACATCACATGCACATAAACACTGAACATTTTTAAAGGCATCCCGTGGTACAAGGGGATCAACCATTCGTTTAACAAGATACCATATAGGTAATTGTATATCTCACTCAGTTGAGATAACATTTCATGTATCTTCGTGTTATCGTTCATATGACGAGCATCTCCACATATTGAAATACAAATATTTATGTTTGTAGATGCGCTATCAACACAATTGAATATAACAACGAATTCACATAGTAGTGGTCTCAATAGCGATATACGATTTTGCACCTTCTTTACTGTCGTTTCTAAGACCAGCATAAATGTATATACTACAAATACAACAATAGCAGCTTGCAATACTAGTTTGATTACCATTTATAACTCTCAAAAAGTTGACCTACCACAATCAGGATCTGGTGAGCAACCCCAAGCACCTTTTATACACAAGCTAAAAAAACACACAAACAAACACATAAATTAGTGATATTGAATGTTTGAAGAGCAATAACATTTGAACATTCGAATCTGCATCAAACACAAATAATTATATTACCCCAGAATGTGGGTATAATGGGTTATCTCTTTTTTCCCTTTCTTTCGCCGGGTACGATATAATAATTATGCAGCACATGTTACCGACAACGGATTTTCGGTAACATGTTTGTAGTTATTTCAGTCATAGCTAGAAAACAGAGGCAGATAAAGCAAAATCGAGAGGCGATCGTTCAGCCTACAGGGTTACCAACGTCTTCTGCAAATGTTATGTCACTCGCATGAAATCTGGTGTTTCAATAGCCCGAATATTAAAACGAAACCACAATTGGGATATTGACTGTCATGTAATCCCGTAAACAAACATGACACGGCATATGCACTACCATATTAGTTTATATCTAAGCAATCGAGTAATATATATGTTGTTCTCGTAGCATTCTTAGTTGCCTTTAGGAATGTCTAAATTACCTTAATTCAGCATTCAATCTTAGACCATGGAAATCATTTATCGAAACTTAGAGTAAAGAAAAAAATAAAACCGACAAATCCACTAACTGCTCCTAAAGAGTTGAACATCTAAATGTACTGATGGGAGTGGTGTCATTTAAATGTAGAAGTATTTAATCTGCCCCAGGCTTACCATATTTCACAGTTTTCTTTATAAACATCAAATTGTCTGTAGAAAGTACAATTCTTTTCACAGTAACCTTTGAACAAATAAAGAAGTTGAGCATTCATGTGATGGTGTTTTGGCGGACCATACGACAGAATTCATGTAGCATTTTGTCAAAATGTATAAAGATAATACACCAAGTGTAATAAAACTTCACAATTCAAAAATGATGAAATACCTCCAAGATATTGTCCAGACAGACATTCAGGAGGTGGACAGCGAGGATCAGTACAGCAAAGCCGACTGACGCTCCTTTCGTCAACACAAACGTCACACGATTCCACGCACATGTCCCCTACAAAGTCGGGCGGACAGGGGCAGGCTCCGTCTGTAAATAAATCGTTTTCATATATTTCAGCATACACACCAGTG